AAAAAAGAAAAGCAACCAAAATCGTCACTTATCCCCTTTTATGACTAGCTTCTGCAATGCTCCCTCATCATAGGCCTGCAGTGCGTGCAGAGAGCTAGATTATAATGCTATGCTCTCTGCACGCATTGCAGGCCTATGATGAGGGAGCGTAATATAATGCTCCCTCATCGTAGGCCTGCAATGCGTGCAGAGAGCTAGATTATAATGCTATGCTCTCTGCACGCATTGCAGGCCTATGATGAGGGAGCATAATTTTGTTTATCTGTACAAAAACATGTTCAAGACTGATTATTTGTTCTGCCTAACTATATGTACATTTGCGTCACAGTGTTCATGAGTGATGAACATAATATAAATACAATGCAACCTGTTTGTGCTTTTGTGTGAGTGCTTGCAGACAAGTAAGGCATTCAACATATTCAGATTCTCTCGGGTTATTCGGTAAGACAGTTTACTCTCACAGTGCTTCTCTCCATCCAGGCATCTAAGTGGGTACCGACGAATTTAAAACTGGGATACAACCCTGCAGTGGACTAGCATCCCATCCAGGGGGAGTAGAAATACTCCAAAACCAGAATAAACTCCAGCTGTTTGGGCCATTTGCCCTGACGCAGACTTTACCTCTATTCAGATGCACTAATTAACATTTCCCACGTTTGTGTCTGTAGTGTAAATTCAGGCATTGTTTTGGTTTTTATCCAGCGGACAGTAGCACACTTAATGTGTACAGCTGTGCAGGAGACGGGAGTGTCCTTCAACACAGGGCTGGACATTTCATGGATGATGCTGTGGATGTAAATGCCCTGATCTTGAAGACAAATGACCTCAAAGTTTGTATATACACTGTCCTAAATTTTCCTCTCAGATGATTTATCAACTTTGAATGTCAATGAAATGCCAAAAAGAAAGGTCGCAGGAATAACTGAAACCACCAGCAATATAGGGCATTGAGTAAGGAGAATTTGAACTTAGGAATGGTATGATGATCTAATCATGGTCAGGGCGGTTTTCAACCGAGTGTCGAAAGTAATCAGGCAACTACTTTGGTTTTGGTTTTGGTTTTGGTTTTGGTTTTACTACGGTTTGAGATTGCTTGAGTAGTCTAATTGGTAAGTAGCTGGTTTGGTTTTTGTTTTGCGATTGTCAATATTGAAAACTGCTTTAATGAGTGTGCATGTAATAGTTTCAGTTCTGGTTGTTGGTTGTTGGTGGCCATACTTTCACAGTGCCTCTTTCCACCCAGAAGTGGTGTGCACTTGCGTTTGTGACTGAGATAGTGTGATGGGGTGGTGGGGTAATTTGGCTAAGAGCCGGTCTGATCCCAGGCTTAACACAATCTTGGGGATCATCCAGGGTACAATACTTCAGGAAATGAGGGCCTGTGACTCTTATTTCTCATGCTTTTATTTGAATAGGCATGAGTAGTGCAATTCCAAGACCTGTTTTTAATTCTTTTTTTTTCTATTTACATGAACAGCACAAGCCGTTTGGTCGAACAGATGTGTCTTGGAACCCAGATGGTTCTGTGCTAGCCCTTGGCAATGAAGATGGGTAAGTATCTATTGGTCAGTGGTAAAGGATTTACGCACCCAGATCACTGGTCATGGATCTGAATTTCGTTAAAGCTTGATTTCGTTCCAGAAATTCTTACTGTTACAGCGGACGTAAGTTGAGCGTTTCGTGGTAATAATAATAATAATAATAATAATAATAATAATAATAATAATAATAATAATAATAATAATAATTTATTGATTTATAGCGCGCTTTTTAACGTACCAGGCGATCAAAAGCACATTGCAACAATAAATAACCTAAAACTATACAAGTATTAGAAATCTACAATAAGATTTAAAAATAATAACAATAATAAAAAAAAACACTACATCATGGTCTCAGTTCTCCCATTTGTTGATACGATTGATATGTTATATATATATTTATTATATTTGTATGTGTGACCGTGTGTACGTGTTTGTGTCCGGCCAAAACTTGACTAACCAATTTGTAAACTGGCAACCCGGCATTTTTAACTTAGTGGTTATTTCGGGTTGCCAGAACCCTAATTCTTAGCAATATTTTATATATTCTGTATTACTTAATGAAAAAAGGGTAATAAAGAGGATGTTGTTGTTGTTGTTGTTGTTGTTGTTGTTGTTTTGTTGTTGTTGTCCGTCGTTGCTTGACGGGATCGAATCTGGATTAAAATGGATTCGATGACCTTTGCCTGGACAGTACATTGTGATTCCCGCCTACTAGTGTCTGGTATTTGAGACCGTTCAACGCTATCCCTTGACATCCTCCACCGGCAGTTCTCTTACAGTTCGATTAATGATGCCATTTATTCAAGTGTAAACTAAACTCAATGTTTTTTTACGCGGTAAGTATTTCACATGCTCTCCCAAGATTGAAACGCAAATTATATGGCAAAGTTGCGAGAACTTCCGTTTGGGGCTTACATTTGTTCAAGAGACTCTGTTTCTCTAGGGTCGATATTTGGGGAGATACAGACCGATCTAATGATTAGTATGTTACACTGCTACAGGTATGAGCCTGTATGACCAACCTCTGTATTCTTTCACGAGTGTGTCATTGGCTATTGCAATTGTTGCAATAAGTTTCATGGACCGTGTTGTCTTTCGTTTTCCAGGTCAATCGAAGTGTATGTACCGCCAGACTTGCTGCAAATCGGGATTATCATCACACACAAGAAAAGCATTACCACCCTTGTGTGGCATCATGGCTACGGAGAAGTCACTACAGAAGCTAATAGTACAGGTACACTGCCAACTTCAACTGTATGCTGTCCCGGGTCTTCCTTTTTGCGCCATTCGTCTTGTACACTTCGCATTCACGTCTCGCAATTCGCATTCGTCTTTATGGCATCTCAAGTTCGTGATTTTCACGTGACATTCAAAGACACGACATCGTTCTTTGCACATCGCACTTCACTCATCGCACTTCACACATCGCGCTTCACTTATCGCTTTTCACACATCGCTCTTCACATATCGCACCTCACATATGGCGCTTGTGTCTCACTTCACATTCGCGGCCCGCAATTTGTACTGCTTTCCACGTCGCAGTCATGACTTACACTTTTCGCGGTGGCGAGACAAACACGAATTACGAGACACGAGGGCAAAGTGTAAGATTCGAACTCGAAATGCGAAACGGAATTGCCAGGACGAAAATGAGCTCTTTTTCAGCGCTCTTTTCCGAGAAAGTGCCTCTAACGAAGTCCCCAGTCATGCAGGCTACTAACTAGTGTGTCTCACTTTGTAGATAGTTGTAGCTGTAAGTACTGGTTGGCTTCGGGATCTAATGAGTCTACAATTCACGTCCATGATCTTGCCAGTATGTTAGGTACGTACGCCTTTTCTTAAAGGAGCTACTCACGGTTTGCACATCTTGAAAAGTTTAGCCTAATTTTTTCAAGGTCATCGTTTGTATTAAATTCGTGTTCCTTTATGGTTTATTGTTATATTTTGTACTAATGCCAGGCCTTGTTTTACCCCCCGACAGGTGATTCGTCCAGCTCGTCATCACGCTCAGCTCCCATTACGGAGAGTTTTCGTCAGCTGGCAGGTCACTCAGGCAGAGTCACAGATTTGAGCTGGAGTCCTCATCAGTTTGAACTTCTTCTCTCTTCCTCTTATGATGGAACTGCCCAGGTAATGCAAGCGTGTTACTGCATAAGCTCACAGGAACTAATTAGTCAAATTATCCCCCTACTTTGATTGGTTCTTACTTATGATCTATCAGAGGACAGACGCACTGATGACGTCATTAGCATTCTTTTTCGTTTCTGTATTATATAAAACAAGTGGATACCATTTTGCCGACCGTCTGTTCAGTTATAGATCAGAGAAGACGTCAAAATGTGGTATGAACATAAGTGACACACTCGGCTATCGCCTCATGTGTCCCTTTTTCTGTCCGTACCACATTTTGACGTCATCTGAAATTAATTGCTGAACAGACGCACGGCAAAATGGAATCTATTTGTTAAACTGATGCCACTGATCTAACTGATGTAATGTACATTCAGTTTGTGAAACATTGGTGGAATGTGTTTATTGACTGAGCCGAAACGGACCGGATCGATATTTCGCCAATGCGCATTGAACTTCTGGATTTTTTCCATCTTTATAAATAAATGAATGGAACATCCATTTGCGGAAAATGCGTGGGACAATGTTAGGAACATTCATGTAATTTAAAGTCAGTTAGTTAGGAGTTGAACCAAACCTGTTGGACAGACAACTTTTGAGCGATCCGTTTAAGCGGGCATAGCTGCGAAATTTGGACCAATCAAAGATCCAATCAGAATCATAGTACGCCAGTTTGCCTTAGATATCAATGACCATTACTGTATCTTGGTTGCATAACTCGTTACAGATTAATCCTTGCTACTCGTAGATCTGGGATGTGGTTAAAGGAGAAGCCCTGTTCAATTTCCGTGGCCACAGCAGCCGTGTGATGTGTGTAGTGTGGAGTTATCTTGATCCTGACTTGGCGTACAGTGGAGGCGAGGATGGAACCGTGCGCCCCTGGAGACCTTCACTGCAACAACATCGACAGCCACCGATTTCAGGTGGGTCATTTAACCATTGATTCACGCTTTAGCGTACATCATCTAGTTATGTAGTCCAGTTCTTGCTCTCTCTCTCTCTGTCACGCAACGCTACGCTCTCGGGAGAGGGTACGACTACTAGCAATGATGCACGCTGGAAGTTTTTCAGAGCACGAAAAAAGCGAAAATTCCGAAGTGCATCAAAACTTTCAGTTTCTCGAGTGCTCTCCAAATTTCCCAAGTGCATCATAACTCAATTACCCACAGCTAGAAGCATGAATGAATTGTTTTGTAAAATTGCTAATGGTAATGCTCTGGCGAGGCCGAGTTAGTTTTGCTCACGCCACGAGCGTGCATTCGATTGTTGCTTACTATTGTTATTAATTTTGATCCAGAGAAAAAACTAAGCCATTCGTCTGGAAAGTCGTCTAAGAACAAGAAGAGCAAACAAAAAGGAAAAGGAAAGGCAGATTCCACCGAGAAGGAATCATGGCGGCAAGAGACAGTGTCCAAACTTGAACAGAGTGCTGTAGGTGTAAAGCCAGCTACTGAGACTCCCAGTGAGTACTGCAATGAAGCAGAATCAACCTCACTTAACCAAAGTACAGAACCTAAACAAGGATCAGACACGGTTACAGATCAAGAGGAACAGATCTTGAAACCCAAGGATGTGATAACCGAGCACGCAGTGGCGGTGATAGAACCTGATGAAGGAAATGAGTGCGGCAGGGGAATGGAGCCGAAAGCGGAAATGACGTCAGAGAATGAGGCGAATCTTGTTGACACGTGCAGGGCGAGTGAGAAGGCAAATTCGGATGTCGTCTTTAACCAAGAACCAGTTGTTCCATTGCGGTCCAGAGGTGAATTGAAACTTTTACAGTCATATGTACGAAAGCTCTCAAAATGTCTCAAAACTTGTTGGTCTGCCTGTACAACGACTAATGAATGACCCTTTTCGTATTGGATAAAGCGAGTGCGTTAAGAAAGGACAAAAATAATCAATGGAATTGTTTGAAAAAGAACATTTTTTTTTATCAATTTACAGAGGCAAATAAATTACCGTTGAAGTAAAATCCAAACATTCCCCCCTAAGAATTTAAGCGCTTTAACTTAAACATGGCGGGTTTAATCCTTTTGTTCATTTTTTTTTAATCCTCTTAGCCAAGTACTATTCACCTCCGAGCAGCCGAAGAAAAACAAAATGGCTTCCCGTTTCAAATAAAGTTACTCTTAAATAAATGAAGTTACTCTTTGGTCCGTTAGTTATTCAGCTTGTTTCGCGGCGAGGTAATATCCGCCACTTTCACCGACACTGAGGTGAATATCTGTTAATTATTTTCAATTTTCAGTGACTCTGGAGACAGCCTCATCTTCCAAGAAAAAGAGAAAAGTCAAATCCATGTTTCCACTTTCTGCTGTCGCGGACAGCAAATCAAAAACAGTGACACGAGAAGAATGCATTGAACTGGCCAAGATGATTTATGGTAGGGTGCTAAATCTTATGTGATCTTTCCTTATCCTACACATTCCTAACTCTAACAAAAGGTTTCGTGTCCGTTTTGTTCACCCAGCAGGACGTTTTCAATCCTCATTTAGGTCAAGAACTGGTCGCTGGAGGAAATACCTTCCGTACAGAATGTTGTGAAGTCAGTCTCGGGGAATCTCTAGTGATTGGGTGAATTGAACCTTCAGGGAAAATTTACATTAGTTCAAGTTTTTCGTGTAGCCATGCATTAGTTTTCGTTTCCAGGGACTAAACTGTTCAAAACCTTGATAACTCGGTAGTCTTTGGTATCCTTCAGTCGAAAACAAATCGAACATTTCCGTCTAAACTGATTTTAATCTAAAATGAGCGACAAAAGTAGTTGAGACACTTCAATAAAATGGCGCTTTTCGATATTTAAGCACTTAGTCTATTTTATTTGCATGTAGCGTTAATTCTATGATACCCCCGGCCCCCGAATTCAATGTTGTGTAGGCGCTGTGAATTTTACTGCCAAGTGTCTCCACACTTTTGTCGCCCATTGTAGCTTCTTCCAGGCGTTCAGTTTGTTGGGTTGCAGCGCGAGAAACGGTGCGCGAAAACAGGGGCAGATTGGCTTGGTGCGCTGCGCTTCCATCCTATTTTTTCGTGCGCCTGTTCGCAAGCTGCAGATTGTAAAATGAACACTGTTCTTGCACGACAAGCCCAATTTTATAGCACGTCTTTCGGTTTTAATTATCAATTTGTTGTTCACAGGTCAGAAACGCGACACTGCAAAAATCTCTGCTGACTCGGCTTCACACGGGGCAGCTGAATCTGAAGGACTCGTCAACCTCGGGCTGTTCGCTGACAGGCGTAGCGCTTACAGAATGTTTTCGACAGAGGGTACTTAGTCTTGTTGTTGTTGTTTTGACGTTATTTTTAATTTGTAATAGCTAGTTTTCAATCATTCTGTATAATTGTGTTGGATAGAACTTAGTTTTCTAAGGATTTGTTTTCCCCGCCGGGCAAAATTACGTTAAAATCAAAAGCAAACCCTGACGTAATAATTTGTTAAGATGGTTCATGGTTGTGGTGGATTATGAACAACGAACTTGAAAAATTTGGGCTTGCTCCTTTTCTCCTACAAAGTGTTGCCAACCTGAGCCGACAAACTCCAGATTTTTTTTTTTTCTTTTTTTGACTCCTCCGACTAGATGCCCTTTTCGTCTACCTTGTTCTCGCGCAGGTCAGCACCATAAGGAGAGTGGTAACCTTGATTACAAGCTTCAGTTAGAGATCTGGAAAGGAAACCTGGGCGGAGCGCTTGAAATGGCGGCTAACAGCAAGCAGCTCACAGAATGGCTTGTTTCTCTCAGTCCTCTTGGTAAAATACTTTTACATTGCCGTCATTTCTATTCTAACGTAAACTGTTCGTTTACACCAAAAACACTCCGCTTGTAAATGACCGAAGTCTAAGAGCTAGTGCGGAAGAAAAAACGTTTTTCTAGTTTATTAGCTTATCAGGACAAAGTTCAACTTTCATTGACGTAGCTGTTACTAATTCCCCGGTACTTGAGGCTTAATGCCTTCAGAACAACTGTTACTCGCTCTAGTGATTTTAGCTGCGACATCAAATGCGTAGTACGAAGTTAGTTTTGTGGTTTAAGTGAATAGGACACTGTAAAATAAGGCTGGTGTACATGGATTCGGAACTGATGCTAAAAGCTCTCCTTGGGCACACGTGATAAGACTTTGTAGAGTTTGAACTACTTAAGACCACTAAACCATATTCGTTTAACTCTTCAAGTGTGGATCCTTAAACATTGCAAGACTAACTCTCTTTCACCAGAGCTAATCATAAACTTAGCTTATTGGAGTAGTTCCAACAGTAAAACCGCAACAGCCCTTATGCATGATGACATCAGACTAGCACATTTCACCACCAAGCCTCGCTTTTAAAATGCAAATTGCAAATGTTATCGTGGAAAAATTCCCGAAGCAGCGAAGATTAAAAGAATACCCTCGTGAAAGCAACACGAAAGTACCTGAGGTTTGAGAAACGTTTTCGCAAACGATGCTTGGTGGTGAATTTTGACCGCGTGACGTAATCGTGCATTAGTCCATTGGGAGCTTACTATGCTCCTGTTTACCTTAACCCAATTTCCATACTTCGGTTGACCAATCACAGTAAGTTATCGTGTATAAACACTCGTTTGTTCTTTCAGCTGGACGAGACGTGTGGCTGGCTACCACGCGGGCGTTTGCTGACCAGCTTGAATCGCACGGTCAGCATCAACGTGCTGTACTGTATTACTTGGCTTGCCATGACATATACAAAGCTATTGATGTGTTCAAGAAGCAAGCTATGTATAGGTACGCTAACGTTGCAGTTGATGTCAGCTCGGAGGTTTCACATAGAGTTAGTATGTTTTTTTGAGGAGCTGTACGCCACAACTGTTACTAAACTCGTATCTTTTGCAAATTGCACAAGAAATTTATCTTTCCTTGGTTGACAAGCAACGCGGTCGAGCACTGAAACTAGACAATTTTTGGCACTAAGACTTAGCTGCTCTTTGTAGATCCTAAACAATTCTACATACAACAGTTTTTCGTGTTTCCAGGAAAGAGTGTAGAATCTTTAATCTGCAATCAAAAGGTCCATTCTTATACACGGAGAAGCTACTTGAAAACGTTGAACAAAGCTTTAAGAACGTGTCGCTGTCAGTGCTTTCAGCTCGAAACAAAAAAATTGAAACAAGCATTGTCCAGTTTAACGGCACTGCACCTCAGACTTTTTGCTAGCGTTAGCTTTTTAGGAGAGTACGGCAATTCATTTGTAACGTACTATAAACTGCCAAAGGTTTTACAAGAGTATGTTACCAATAATCGTTTGCTTTTTTTCACTCTTCAGGGAAGCGATCGCATTGGCTAAGGTGCGACTTTCACCATTAGACCCAGTACTTTTCGACTTGTACAGCACCTGGGCCAGAAAGCTAGAGACAGATAATTCCTTTGAGCAAGCCGCCAAATGGTGAGCGTTTTATTACGACAATTCATTCCGATATATTCCTAACCAATCGAATGATTCCGAATGAACCGGTGCTCAGTTGTGTTTCTGTCTTCTCCTTAACAGTTACTTGGCAGTTCATTCATCGGCTGATGCAGTAAGGGTGTTGTGTCGTCGCGGAGACCAGCCTTCTCTCAGGACTGCACTTCAGGTATTTTGCTGGATCCCTTGAACGTTGGACTATTAGGGTGCGATGATTCTTTGGGATGATCCGGGTCAGGATCAGTGATCCAAAATCACTCGGATCGTGTTCATCAAAGTAACTGATGAATCCATTCTAGTCACGAATTCATCGGCCCCTTTGATGCACCATGACAACGACAACAGCAACAATTTATTGGTATTCCCATATATTTGGGTGCTATTACCTTGAATAACAATATATAAAAATATAAAAAGAAAAAAAGTTAAAGATAACATGAAATACCACTAATCACATTAAATTAAATAGGATTACAAGTTTCTCTTGATTGTATGCAATGCTTCATATACAAAAGAACCTAGTTTCTTACAAATAAACGAATCAACATTATTAAATAGGCATAGAGTTTTATCAGAATTGTTCAAACCATGATCATTTTCAGCATTTTCATCGTTTTATTTCTTAATAAAATCTACATTTTACAGTTGGACTGGCCCGCGAATAGCTATGCTAGTCTAGGCGGGCTAGTCTATCAGTAGTTACAAATGATATATTTGTATCCGAGTGATCTTGGATCATTGATCCTCATCCGGATCATCCCAAAGGAACGTACTCTTAGCTCATTCACGTGGATAACCATAGCACAGTCTTACTTACTTACTATTTGACGGTGCCAGATTTTCTACGTGCGTTACTGTAAACTTCTAAAAGGTCGCCGGGCATCTATAGTCTTGGTTGGACAAGTGATGGACGCTGAATTACAGAAGCATTCCAGTTGCTGTGTCTTTGATATCACTAATACTTTCCTTCAGATCTCTTTCAATCTCAAGCAGAAGAATTTTATTTCATTGGAATAAACAGTACTGTTAGGTTACAGCAAAATCCGACTCCAGTCGTCAGAAGAAGCTGGATTTTGGTTAATCTAAGAAGTTCTTCTGGTGTTAACTCCTGACCAGTTGCAAAGACCACCGGCGGAAAAGAGTTCCCTACTGCGGGACTAAAACTCGAATTCACAACTGCAGAGCATTTCAACAAGCGATAATTTTCGGTAATTAGAATACACAGTTAAATAAGAAGACGGGTGGCGAAAACACAGCTAAACATGACCATTTGCAGAGAGATATTGTATTGATTTAATTAGGATCTCTGGGGTTTATACCGAGGTGAAATGCTCTAGAATAATTTTTTACTTTGCTGTATTTTATTTAGGTTGCATCAATTTGTGGTGAACCTGAGCTTGCCAGCTCTCTGGCTCTCCGCCTTACGCATTCTTATTTGGTGACTGCAAACTGGCAAGGGTGTCATGAAATTTTGAAAGAGTTTGCTGGAGTTGAGGTAGGAGCCTAGATAATCACTCACTTCGTTATGGAAAGGGAGGGTGAACCCTCAGTAATGAATCATTTGCAATAAATTAGAACAGACACATGGTTAAAGAACAAAAAAAACTCAAAACGTAAACAAAATAAAAATGATAATGATGAAGAGCATTCGTAACATGAAATGTTCAGTAGTAAAACTTGGGTAAGTTGGGCAAATAAACTAACAACGTTCTTATTGTACATTTACTTATATTGGACAGTCTATTTGGGTTTGATAATTGATCTCAATAGGTTTCTGTATCAAAGGTAAATTGTGCAACTCATCTGCGGTAATCGAATATCTTGAGGAAATGTTTGCCATAATGTTATGAATGCACTGGTAAGATAAATTCGCGCTATTTTTGTGATTCTTGGTTATCTTTGCTAATGACTACCTGGACAGGTAAAACCTCGGTTACAAAATGAATAACGATTATTCCGTAGCGTTGGAGCATGTTTTCACTCAAATCGAGTTTGACTTGATTTCTGTAAATTGAATTTTTTCACAGCGTACCAACATTTTAATATTGTTTCAGGCTCACATGTTGAATGTTTGTGTCCATGAACTTTTACTCGTGACGCTCATCCAACAGCAAGCAATCGACCAACCCGAATGTGAAGACGGCGCACGAACCGAGATAAGTTCCTTTCTTAACAGCCGCTCAAATACGAATCAACCATGGGGTGAGTTAGAGTTTGGTTTGCACTGAAAATACGGCAATATGGGAACTACTCCCTCGATTTAACGAATATATATGAAGTCGAACGAAATAAAGGTTTTTAATAAAACTCATGAGGGATTTTAAAGTGCAAGATTGACCAAGTAAGTTGAAAATGTAACCATGCTGTGTACAGTTTACATGGTATATTGCATACTGCATACTGCATGTGCCATGTGCCATGTGCCATGTTGCATGTATATTGTAATCCACTGTCGTGCTCGCCATCGGTAGCTATCGTTAATTTTCTGTAATACTATAGGTTTCAGTTATTTTCAATCTAGCATTGATGAGTTTCTCTCATCTAGACACGTTTTTAAGCGTCTGGAAATTCATATTCTTTAACGTTTCATTTCGTTTTAGGAAAATATTCTTATTTTGATGTAACCAGCGGTGCCTCGCCTTGGATGGCCAACAACAATTCCAACAAGTGGTTTGTTCTGTGTGCTATAGAGGCTTGGTATCATTCTGGCGCCTTTAGGCCTGACTTGGTAGCTACTCTGTATGAAACACTCAAAAGCTATTATGAAACCATCTCAACTGGAACTGAAACTACGCCTGAGGTTAGTATAGCCGGTGTATTAAGGTAGTCTCCCTCCCCCTTTGTTTACTTGTGTGCACTTGGGAATGGAAGTTAACCTCAGTCGTTCTAGGAGGCCTAAGCAACCACGTGCTGAGTAATTGCTATAGTTGATCGGAACAAACAGAGGAATATTAAAAAAAAATCATAAACCCAAGGGAGTATGGCAAGGGGTTCATTAATTTTTACAGCAGGAGGGCAACTGGCTTTCACAGGCGGGCAAAACTTTTTGAACGGAGCTATTCCTTATAAGAAAAAATTTCTTCTAGATAGTCAAACCAGGTGGGCAAAATCGTCCTGAAAACCGGTCAATTTGCCCAAGTTCCCGGCCCTTAATGAAACCCCTGGTATGGTAGCGGCGCAAAACATTCACAGAACTAAAACCATTTCATTCTTTACTTTCCTTTTAGATCTTATCCAGGATTTCTCTGGAGATAACGCTTGGACTGTTGTCGGCGCTTAGAGGCGATCTTTACAGTACTTGCCAATATTGGCTGCAGGCTCTGTCTCACTGCAGCAAACACTGCCTGTTTGTCTTGCAGCGGGAGCTCTGCTGTATGTTACTGCCACACGGAACTCAATCTTTGGAAAATCTTCTCGGTTTAAGCCATGAACTACGCAGTGTGGACGACTCTGATGAGTCCAAGAAAGAAGAAAGTTTCACGCAGTTCTTTCTGCATTTCCACGCGTTTTATTGCAAGGCTCTAATGATTGAAATATGGTATAGATGCCCTAATATATTGAGAATTTTTAAACCTCATCAAGACGTATCTGTTGAGGTTAAAATGGAAAGCGAGACAAGCAGTTCTATCTGCGAGAGTTCGGCCAATCTGGAGGACGAGTTGTCGCCGAAAACTGAGCTAAACAAGTTCGGAAATGCTGTGGCAATTTCCGACTATAGTGGTGATGAGAAAGTTGGAAAAGAAATTCCCGAAGTAGGAGTAGATCTGGTTGCTGTCGATGAAGACATTAGAAGCAAAGTTGACACAAAAGAACCATTCTCGTCCAGAAAGCGTAATCTTGTTGAGAAACAAGACTTGAAATCGACATTGCAGAAGGTCAAAGAGGTTTTGCTTTCAGATCATCAGGCGAAAGTAAGTAATCTGAGGGATCTTCTCACTGAGATCAGAAAGGCAATGTTGCTGAAGAGGTCAAAGCAATTCTTCCAGATGAACTCAGCTGGCAGCAAATTGAACCAAAAGAAAAAGAAAGCGAAAGCTCAACCTGCTCACGAGGCTCAGCCGCTGGGCTTTTCTCCAAGTTCCAGTGAAGGGGATCCAACAGGCGAGGCAGCTAGCAAGAAAAGTTCAAGTGAACCTGTAGAAAGTACTCAAACTGAGTCAAGAGAAGATGAAGGTGCTGCTCCTACTGGGCATTCTGGATCGCAGGTGGAAGTGGCTGGAATGGATGCCAAAGACACACTTTTGGGCAATGAGGGAGAGAAACAGGGCGAGGGCAGTAATGACCGTGCAACCCTTGGAGGGCTTTCTGCTGAACTAAGGACAGTCCCAGCGACTGAGACAGACACTAAGGATTTGACGACGGTGGACGGAAAACTTCCAATCGATTTGAGATACGTGGTAATTGAAACCAGCTTGGAATCACTAACGGAGGAAGAAGAACGAGTCCTAGGGGAAATTGAGCAGCTTGAGTTTAAGGTTTGTAGTTTAATGTCACTAAGCTCTTGTGTGAAATAATTTGAGGAACTAAATGGTGTTCAGTAACTGTAGAAAATGTACCGGCTGTGTGTGAAATTTTTCATGCCGTAACAACAAGGCCTCCAAGGCTAAACATCAAAGCGCAAGACTTTCGAGTCAATATTAATGATGTAGATCGTTTTCCCCCTCGCTATCGTTGGTCGGCTTCATGTCCTAATGTCATTTCCCGAGAATTGGATAACAAAGTGAGTACATTATTGCTAAATCCGACCGCCGAACCCGGAGTGTCCTGTCGCCAAATTTCGTCCGCTGGCGGTTAGACAATCGGATCATTATAAACTGAAAGACTGTTGTTTACCGCCTTCTTGGGCGTTCCTCTAAGATGATGGGCGCTTGCCATTCGATGAAAGATTCTGGTTTGGATTTCCGGAAATTTCCAGTGACGAATATACAGCGTTTTCCGTAATTTCCGGAAATAGGAACGCTGTGCGAGGTATACCCAACCCTCCACGAATTTCCGTTTCATTTGATTTTCATTGATAACGTTACAATCACGATTACTCGCAGCGAATCTGACCGGTTAATTCCCCATTTTTTTAGAATCTTCCCTTTCCGTCGCCGTTGGAGTCTGCTTTGACAATGGTAAACCTTTGCGCACGCCCAGATGGTCTTCCTGTACGTGCCCCTGACCTTCGTACACTGGGGATGAATGTTTTGCTCTGGGCGCAGCGTTATGCTCAAACCTCCACTGATCTTAAAGGTGTAAAGACGCTGAATCGGATATATGACTCAAGGAAGGAAGTGTAAGGGCAATTTACACATCTTTGACATCCCTGCTCTGTTGTTTTGAAGTGCTGATAAGAAGCAATAAAGCGTTGAATTCAAGATTTTTGCCGCTTTTGTGGTTTCTGAAGAGTTTGATGTCACAGTTACATATATTGTGAATTTTTTTCGCTTTTTGACTGTCCAAAGGTACAGTTTTGTCTGTAAATGGGTACTTTACAGAAACCGCAATCCTTTTTTTTTTTTTGCAAAATAAAATAAAAAAATTATATAATTGCCATAATCTATTTCTCATTACGCGTATTCCTATATAAACATTATGCATAAACCGTTCGCCACAAATAAAACTCAGCTTTGTACTGAGGAAACATTTTGGAAATTTAGGGGAAAAATCTGGTTTCCACACGCGCAAATAAGTATATTTATAAACTCAAATCAAGCGCATCCCAGCAAACCTTTATTACGCCTTAATTCGTGATACAAGCAAAGAGAGGCCAATACATTTCAATGGTGGAACATGTTATTTCGTCAGAGCTGCAAACGCAACTCAGCGCGAGCAAAATGTTTGTGCGATAAATATCAAAAAAACAGAACTCGATGTTATATAATTGCCCTAAAATACGAATCATGCAAATTAATTTAATTGTGAACTTAATCGAGATACTAGCTGGGCAGAACGTTTTCACTGATTAAATTTGGGGAATGTGGAATCCTGCCTGTTTTTGGCAAAAGGCGAGAATGGGAAACTTTTATCTTTGCCAGAATGTATATGATTGCCTCTCCCATGAGCGAGTCAGAGTTTCTGTTATTTTTTGTTTTTGTTTTTGCTTGTTTATTTGTTTATTTGTTCGATTTTTTACCTGTAGAGTGTAGTTTTGTATGATACTGAAACTCCGTGTTTCTTGGAGTTCAGGCGCTGATAGCAGAATAAGAAATCATTGAAAGACAAAGAAGAAAGAACATGTACCCACATAAAAGAGAGGTTGCTGATTTATTTCTCAACATTTACTCCGATAAATAAATAATGAGCTCTAAATGAAGCATAAATATGTGTTGTATTGTACTGAACGACAATATTTGCTTGGGGTGTTGGTTTTACGTAGTTTTGGCTAATCGGATTTTGTTTCTAGTGAGGTAAATAATATGATACTGAAAGAGCAAATAGATAACGCTGGGTTGATAGTATTGTTAAGGGGGGTTGTCCGTTTGAAATTACATGAGACTTGATATTCGAGTAAATCCGATTAGTGGTTAAATGTTGGCAAGATGAAACTTTGGCAAATGCCAACGACAAAAGTGCTACTTCATGAGAACCAAATCAAATTTTCAACTGTATGACATAATGGGTATAGTTATTTCAATGAATTTAAATAAAGTTGCTTGCTTTACAGCGGGGGATGTAAAAAAAAGATGAAGATAAATGCGATATCGTGCATGGGAACGATTATCACATTAAAATGATTCATCTAGATACTGAGCTGAGTTGGTGATCAAAATATGTCAGTTGTTATTATCCACTTGATAAACATAGCGCCAATTGGGCGTTGCAAGGAGAAAATAACGTCGTGATACGATGAATATCTAATTTATTCTATTTTGTTCAACATTTAGGATATTTATTTTGATTATTTGGCGTTTTTGTTTGTAATTTGGGTGACGTCGGTTCTAACAAACAATGCATCCTAAATTTGCGTTATTTTCGTGGGAACAAGATCCCTTTCACATTCTGTCTATATTCCAGACAACAGCGACTCTTTGTAGACCTTTGTAGTCTCTGTGTTGTGGCTTCGGAACAGTATTATTCAAATGAAATGCGTGATTACAAATATACGAAATAAACGAGACAAGTGTGCTGCGGAATTATATTGAACTTTAGCGGTCGAAAGCAAAGCCTGAAGAAAATTAAAGCTCGGAAGGGATTCATACCCGTAACCTTTGCGATTCCGGTACGGTGCAAACAATCCACCACTGTAAAGCCTCTGAAGAACTGGTAGCTACTGGGAAGTGCGAGGTCTACTTATATTATATACACGCCAGAATAGGCGATGATAATCACACAAAATGTAAACAGCCGAGTTTGCAGCGGAATCGCCGCTGTCTTGGGTTGAAATCCCGCTGAAAACTGATTTTTTTTTTTCAGGCTTTCTGCAGAAGTTGATATACAACTACGAAAATCTCTTCGTTAGTAACGTAATTTTTAAGAATAACATAACAAGCCGGAGGGTTTTTTAATCAGCGTTCAGACAACGAGACGACAAGTTGACTGGACGAGGATGCATTGTTGATATCATCTATTACGCATTAATGGCGAGAGTTACAAATGAGCTATTTATTTGAACCTTTTCAAATCGGAGATTGGACAAGATTTTACGTTTTTAGATTTTGAATATGAGCTCGATCGTTGGCTATCAGTGAATATTTAGCAACGAGAGGGCTACGAATCAAATTGATAGACACACGAGGTATTCTATGTCTTCTATCGACGACTTAAAGGTCGAAGTCCCAACTGCNTATTCTTTAACGTTTCATTTCGTTTTAGGAAAATATTCTTATTTTGATGTAACCAGCGGTGCCTCGCCTTGGATGGCCAACAACAATTCCAACAAGTGGTTTGTTCTGTGTGCTATAGAGGCTTGGTATCATTCTGGCGCCTTTAGGCCTGACTTGGTAGCTACTCTGTATGAAACACTCAAAAGCTATTATGAAACCATCTCAACTGGAACTGAAACTACGCCTGAGGTTAGTATAGCCGGTGTATTAAGGTAGTCTCCCTCCCCCTTTGTTTACTTGTGTGCACTTGGGAATGGAAGTTAACCTCAGTCGTTCTAGGAGGCCTAAGCAACCACGTGCTGAGTAATTGCTATAGTTGATCGGAACAAACAGAGGAATATTAAAAAAAAATCATAAACCCAAGGGAGTATGGCAAGGGGTTCATTAATTTTTACAGCAGGAGGGCAACTGGCTTTCACAGGCGGGCAAAACTTTTTGAACGGAGCTATTCCTTATAAGAAAAAATTTCTTCTAGATAGTCAAACCAGGTGGGCAAAATCGTCCTGAAAACCGGTCAATTTGCCCAAGTTCCCGGCCCTTAATGAAACCCCTGGTATGGTAGCGGCGCAAAACATCCACAGAACTAAAACCATTTCATTCTTTACTTTCCTTTTAGATCTTATCCAGGATTTCTCTGGAGATAACGCTTGGACTGTTGTCGGCGCTTAGAGGCGATCTTTACAGTACTTGCCAATATTGGCTGCAGGCTCTGTCTCACTGCAGCAAACACTGCCTGTTTGTCTTGCAGCGGGAGCTCTGCTGTATGTTACTGCCACACGGAACTCAATCTTTGGAAAATCTTCTCGGTTTAAGCCATGAACTACGCAGTGTGGACGACTCTGATGAGTCCAAGAAAGAAGAAAGTTTCACGCAGTTCTTTCTGCATTTCCACGCGTTTTATTGCAAGGCTCTAATGATTGAAATATGGTATAGATGCCCTAATATATTGAGAATTTTTAAACCTCATCAAGACGTATCTGTTGAGGTTAAAATGGAAAGCGAGACAAGCAGTTCTATCTGCGAGAGTTCGGCCAATCTGGAGGACGAGTTGTCGCCGAAAACTGAGCTAAACAAGTTCGGAAATGCTGTGGCAATTTCCGACTATAGTGGTGATGAGAAAGTTGGAAAAGAAATTCCCGAAGTAGGAGTAGATCTGGTTGCTGTCGATGAAGACATTAGAAGCAAAGTTGACACAAAAGAACCATTCTCGTCCAGAAAGCGTAATCTTGTTGAGAAACAAGACTTGAAATCGACATTGCAGAAGGTCAAAGAGGTTTTGCTTTCAGATCATCAGGCGAAAGTAAGTAATCTGAGGGATCTTCTCACTGAGATCAGAAAGGCAATGTTGCTGAAGAGGTCAAAGCAATTCTTCCAGATGAACTCAGCTGGCAGCAAATTGAACCAAAAGAAAAAGAAAGCGAAAGCTCAACCTGCTCACGAGGCTCAGCCGCTGGGCTTTTCTCCAAGTTCCAGTGAAGGGGATCCAACAGGCGAGGCAGCTAGCAAGAAAAGTTCAAGTGAACCTGTAGAAAGTACTCAAACTGAGTCAAGAGAAGATGAAGGTGCTGCTCCTACTGGGCATTCTGGATCGCAGGTGGAAGTGGCTGGAATGGATGCCAAAGACACACTTTTGGGCAATGAGGGAGAGAAACAGGGCGAGGGCAGTAATGACCGTGCAACCCTTGGAGGGCTTTCTGCTGAACTAAGGACAGTCCCAGCGACTGAGACAGACACTAAGGATTTGACGACGGTGGACGGAAAACTTCCAATCGATTTGAGATACGTGGTAATTGAAACCAGCTTGGAATCACTAACGGAGGAAGAAGAACGAGTCCTAGGGGAAATTGAGCAGCTTGAGTTTAAGGTTTGTAGTTTAATGTCACTAAGCTCTTGTGTGAAATAATTTGAGGAACTAAATGGTGTTCAGTAACTGTAGAAAATGTACCGGCTGTGTGTGAAATTTTTCATGCCGTAACAACAAGGCCTCCAAGGCTAAACATCAAAGCGCAAGACTTTCGAGTCAATATTAATGATGTAGATCGTTTTCCCCCTCGCTATCGTTGGTCGGCTTCATGTCCTAATGTCATTTCCCGAGAATTGGATAACAAAGTGAGTACATTATTGCTAAATCCGACCGCCGAACCCGGAGTGTCCTGTCGCCAAATTTCGTCCGCTGGCGGTTAGACAATCGGATCATTATAAACTGAAAGACTGTTGTTTACCGCCTTCTTGGGCGTTCCTCTAAGATGATGGGCGCTTGCCATTCGATGAAAGATTCTGGTTTGGATTTCCGGAAATTTCCAGTGACGAATATACAGCGTTTTCCGTAATTTCCGGAAATAGGAACGCTGTGCGAGGTATACCCAACCCTCCACGAATTTCCGTTTCATTTGATTTTCATTGATAACGTTACAATCACGATTACTCGCAGCGAATCTGACCGGTTAATTCCCCATTTTTTTAGAATCTTCCCTTTCCGTCGCCGTTGGAGTCTGCTTTGACAATGGTAAACCTTTGCGCACGCCCAGATGGTCTTCCTGTACGTGCCCCTGACCTTCGTACACTGGGGATGAATGTTTTGCTCTGGGCGCAGCGTTATGCTCAAACCTCCACTGATCTTAAAGGTGTAAAGACGCTGAATCGGATATATGACTCAAGGAAGGAAGTGTAAGGGCAATTTACACATCTTTGACATCCCTGCTCTGTTGTTTTGAAGTGCTGATAAGAAGCAATAAAGCGTTGAATTCAAGATTTTTGCCGCTTTTGTGGTTTCTGAAGAGTTTGATGTCACAGTTACATATATTGTGAATTTTTTTCGCTTTTTGACTGTCCAAAGGTACAGTTTTGTCTGTAAATGGGTACTTTACAGAAACCGCAATCCTTTTTTTTTTTTTGCAAAATAAAATAAAAAAATTATATAATTGCCATAATCTATTTCTCATTACGCGTATTCCTATATAAACATTATGCATAAACCGTTCGCCACAAATAAAACTCAGCTTTGTACTGAGGAAACATTTTGGAAATTTAGGGGAAAAATCTGGTTTCCACACGCGCAAATAAGTATATTTATAAACTCAAATCAAGCGCATCCCAGCAAACCTTTATTACGCCTTAATTCGTGATACAAGCAAAGAGAGGCCAATACATTTCAATGGTGGAACATGTTATTTCGTCAGAGCTGCAAACGTAACTCAGCGCGAGCAAAATGTTTGTGCGATAAATATCAAAAAAACAGAACTCGATGTTATATAATTGCCCTAAAATACGAATCATGCAAATTAATTTAATTGTGAACTTAATCGAGATACTAGCTGGGCAGAACGTTTTCACTGATTAAATTTGGGGAATGTGGAATCCTGCCTGTTTTTGGCAAAAGGCGAGAATGGGAAACTTTTATCTTTGCCAGAATGTATATGATTGCCTCTCCCATGAGCGAGTCAGAGTTTCTGTTATTTTTTGTTTTTGTTTTTGCTTGTTTATTTGTTTATTTGTTCGATTTTTTACCTGTAGAGTGTAGTTTTGTATGATACTGAAACTCCGTGTTTCTTGGAGTTCAGGCGCTGATAGCAGAATAAGAAATCATTGAAAGACAAAGAAGAAAGAACATGTACCCACATAAAAGAGAGGTTGCTGATTTATTTCTCAACATTTACTCCGATAAATAAATAATGAGCTCTAAATGAAGCATAAATATGTGTTGTATTGTACTGAACGACAATATTTGCTTGGGGTGTTGGTTTTACGTAGTTTTGGCTAATCGGATTTTGTTTCTAGTGAGGTAAATAATATGATACTGAAAGAGCAAATAGATAACGCTGGGTTGATAGTATTGTTAAGGGGGGTTGTCCGTTTGAAATTACATGAGACTTGATATTCGAGTAAATCCGATTAGTGGTTAAATGTTGGCAAGATGAAACTTTGGCAAATGCCAACGACAAAAGTGCTACTTCATGAGAACCAAATCAAATTTTCAACTGTATGACATAATGGGTATAGTTATTTCAATGAATTTAAATAAAGTTGCTTGCTTTACAGCGGGGGATGTAAAAAAAAAGATGAAGATAAATGCGATATCGTGCATGGGAACGATTATCACATTAAAATGATTTATCTAGGTACTGAGCTAATCCCTATTTAGTTGGTGATCAAAATATGTCAGTTGTTATTATCCACTTGATAAACATAGCGCCAATTGGGCGTTGCAAGGAGAAAATAACGGCGTGATACGATGAATATCTAATTTATTCTATTTTATTCAACATTTAGGATATTTATTTTGATTATTTGGCGTTTTTGTTTGTAATTTGGGTGACGTCGGTTCTAACAAACAATGCATCCTAAATTTGCGTTATTTTCGTGGGAACAAGATCCCTTTCACATTCTGTCTATATTCCAGACAACAGCGACTCTTTGTAGACCTTTGTAGTCTCTGTGTTGTGGCTTCGGAACAGTATTATTCAAATGAAATGCGTGATTACAAATATACGAAATAAACGAGACAAGTGTGCTGCGGAATTATATTGAACTTTAGCGGTCGAAAGCAAAGCCTGAAGAAAATTAAAGCTAGGAAGGGATTCATACCCGTGACCTTTGCGATTCCGGTACGGTGCAAACAATCCACCACTGTAAAGCCTCTGAAGAACTGGTAGCTACTGGGAAGTGCGAGGTCTACTTATATTATATACACGCCAGAATAGGCGATGATAATCACACAAAATGTAAACAGCCGAGTTTGCAGCGGAATCGCCGCTGTCTTGGGTTGAAATCCCGCTGAAAACTGATTTTTTTTTTTCAGGCTTTCTGCAGAAGTTGATATACAACTACGAAAATCTCTTCGTTAGTAACGTAATTTTTAAGAATAACATAACAAGCCGGAGGGTTTTTTAATCAGCGTTCAGACAACGAGACGACAAGTTGACTGGACGAGGATGCATTGTTGATATCATCTATTACGCATTAATGGCGAGAGTTACAAATGAGCTATTTATTTGAACCTTTTCAAATCGGAGATTGGACAAGATTTTACGTTTTTAGATTTTGAATATGAGCTCGATCGTTGGCTATCAGTGAATATTTAGCAACGAGAGGGCTACGAATCAAATTGATAGACACACGAGGTATTCTATGTCTTCTATCGACGACTTAAAGGTCGAAGTCCCAACTGCAACACAAGAAACGTCGTTGCGTTACTTAGCAGTCCAAAAGGCTAAATTCAGTTGATGGCATTATTTAGATATGGTTGTGAGGTAAGAAAATTCGCACGGCAGTCATTTTCCTTGTTAGTCGAGAGAGTTTATAAAGCTGTCTAAGGATCACACAACGCGTTTTATCTCGCACGCTTTGCAGTGTTTCTCACTAATTTATTTCTAAACGTTTATTTTTCTTCTCACTAATGGGTCCATAAACGACAACTTCGAAATTTAGCAATTCAAATGAACGTTCTTTTTTTGTTTTCTTACGCATGTTTACCTTTTCTATCACGCCCCGCAGAAAATGTCGCTTCTTATCTATAAGACAAATTAATTGCCCATCTCCAAAGCGAAAAGGAAAGTGTCGCCAGTTTTAAGTAGGCCGTGAATGTCCCGGAAATTGTCAAGGAAAAGCCGCGATAATAGACCCATAATAAGTTGTTGTTAGGGTTCCATTTTAGAGGTTTGTTAAGAAGGCCGGAAGAACGTACGGAGCTTTTAATGATGTGATTACATGAATAGATAGGAAGATAGTAGCATCAAACGATATCGAGCCAATTTGTTTCCTACTTTTGTGTATTGTTGCAAAACCGAATTGTACGTTCATTTAGTTTATGGATAATATGTATCGACGAGAGACTTTGAAACCTTAGTATCGAGTCCAGCAAAAAGCTGAGACCCAGTGATATGCGTCTTTGTATTTAACCCCTAATAGAAAGAACAACCGTCCACCTAATCTACGGGGATAAGCTGATGACATTTTGTCGTCGAGGAATTTCACTTGTAGACTGACGGATTCATTACTGAAATGAAAACTTTGTCGTTTGAGGACCTGCATCAGCGAAACGTTTTGTCTAGTCCACTTATATCCGTTGATAACCCTTAATCACCACAATCTTTCAGCTTGCAACGTTAGTCACAAGCTAGACGGGAATTGTTTCTTTTGACTAAAAGCTTGGCATCTAACTGGTCTTTTTCGAAGGTTTTTTCATTGGAAATGGTTTCTGGTTAAATTACGTTGTACTTTATGTTATGCTCACGAGTAAGCGGCCCTTGGCTGGAGTTCCATAACTGAGTCTGAGAACGTTCATATTTAGAATGTAATCCCGCAAAGACGTCAGGAACTGCTACTTGGCTCCCGATGACTGTAAAATCTGTTTGCTCTTGCTCTCCTGCACAATACTATGTCTTTGAAACTTTCTCGGAATTTTTTGTTCATGACCCCATAAATGATCGGGTTACAGCCGCTGTTCAACATGGCCAGCCATGTTGTAGTCGCAAAGAATTCATCTGGCCACTTGCAGCTTGGAAAAAGTAAACAAGTCATTCCAATGAAGTGTGGTGCCCAACAGAACATGAATGTCCCCATCACGATAAGAAGCGTTTTTGCAGCTCTTGTGTCTCTCTTAAACTTTTCTTTCGCTTCCCTTTCTTTGGCTTTTTCCGTCGCCGACGGTGAATTGGCTGCCCCATTTGAACTTGCGGTGCCAAAAGCCACCGGTACTGCAACAATCGTTTGCAAGGTCTCCTCTCTGAGTTCTCCAACGCGAGGCGTGATTTTTTGTGATTGCTTCCTTGCAGCACGTAGAATGTGAAAATAGCAAAAAGCCATCACTATGAGGGGGGCGATAAAGCTTGAAGCGAAGATGAATAACGTGTAAGGGATGTCTGAACCCCAGTCTGCGGTGCAGATCGACTCGTTTGTAATATAGATGTAACTGGACCAGCCGAAGACGGGCAGAAAGGCAAGGGTGATTGCGTGCAGCCACACGTAAGATATCATGGCCAGGGCCACTCGAGAAGTCATAATAAGGGGATACTGTAGTGGCTTGATGATTGCAACATATCTGTCTATCGAGACAGCTGCCAAAGACAGCATAGAAGCGATACAAAAGATGGAATTAAGCATACCGTTGATGGTGCACCATACTTTCCCAAAGACCCAGTCGTACGTGATGGACGATGCCATGGTGAACGGCATTCCCAGAAGTGCCAGGAGAAAATCTGCCATAGCCAGGTTGGCTATGAAAACGCTAGTGATGCTTCGAAGGCTGTGATTTCGATAGATGGCGAGAATAATCAGCGTGTTTCCTATGAGAGAAGAAAGCATAATGATGAGCAGGAACGCCGCCTGGATGGCGATGGCAACCGATGAGCGTGTGTCTTCTGCGTGCATTGCCGCTTCTGTACAGTCGGTCGTGTTGTCCGATCGATTGTCCCGCATCAGCTAGCAAATCTTCCACTTTCTCGTAGTGATCAAGTGAGCCAGCCCAGTGTGAAGGCGATTTGATTTCTTCCCCGCATAAGAAATGAGGTTTGACAACCTCGAACAAGTTAACAGATAAACGCCGCGAGTAATTTTCACAGGTGAACACCGTTGGTTTTTGTTTACGAAATCGTATTTTGTCCTTGCTGAGACTTCCAGCCTCCTCGCTCACAAGCGCGAATACTCCTTGTTTTGATTTGATGCCAGAGTCTTATTGGTATGAAGTAATCACCAGAATATGTCGTGATAGGTCGTCTCTATGGTTACTCTGTGGCCACCTCAAATATTCAATCGTTTCCTTTTGGTGTATAATTTGTTTCCTGTTGTATCTAGAGTAGCATTTGAAGTCCCACGCCTAAAGGCTGCGACAAAACGTTTTCGAGGGCGGAAACCATGTTTACATGTGTGCCATTACCGGTAAAACATCCCACATTCTCTCGACTGACGTGATTTCCCACTCGGTTACGTGAGCTGCAACTTCTATTTACATTTGACGCATCGAAACGACCTGACCACCTGTCCCGATTTTTGCGATCCTGGAAAAAATAAAATAAAAGTAAATTCACCTGAATGTTTTCAAACATTAAACTCGATATGATTTACAGTGGAACAAACCTGTTAAGGTTTGACATGTTGTTTTGGATAACCGACGCTTTGCAAAACCAATTTTCACTTTGTTTCTTTGCCGGACCGGTTTAGATTGACTTTGATAAAGATGTGGCGCGCCCGTAAAATTGTTTGAGGCTTTTTCCCCAAGAGTACATGGTAATCAATTGTGGCAGAGCTAAATACTATTGGTGTTAACAAATGACATTGCACTTAAAAAATTGTAATCAGTTGAATCGTTACTTTCGAGTAATAGAAAACAAAAAAAATAATAAGTTTAATTTTCGATTGACGTATTTTTCTTATGCTGACGGCTACAATTCTCAACATTGTTTTTACGTCGCAATCTTCATTACTGTTTTTTTGACACGTATTTGGAGCCCATTTTGAATATTATTTATTTCTGGAGAAAACAAATATTATCATTTGAACGATGTAAGTAATTGTTTTTGGCATGTTTATTGAAATACTTCCTTAGCGGTGCAAATTAAAAACCGGCTTAATATAAAATCGATCACAAATTCAACTGGTGCCTGGAAGTTATTATTCACTGGTGAATTTGTTCTTATATGCAACGATATACACGAATAAATTTATATTAAAAAAAAAACCCTGATACTTATAGATATCATTGTCGAACACATCTAATGTATGACAATGCATCTATCGTCCGTTTCGAAGAAGGTCCGTGCGTGGTCCACAATAAACAATTATTCAATCGTGAATTTCATCCTGATATTTAAAGGAAACTGTATAAACGCCAAAACTTTCCTGCGTAATATGTTGTGGGTTATCTAACCATTGTTTGCGAAAAAGTGACAAGAACTCTTGGGCTCAGAAGTGCTTAAAGATTAAAGGTGAAGATAAATTATGTTTGAATTTCAGTTTGTCAGAACAAAAATCTGTGGTGCTATCAAATCTCAAAAAAGAATACCTACACTTTTATGCGGTGGGTTCGCTTATTTCTCAAGGCACTTGTTGACGAACAAACCCTATTCCTTGTTTAATTTTAGAATAACGTGCCCATGCAGTTATTATTGAATGAATACTTCATTCTTGGTAAAACTCCCCGCTGTTTCTGTAGATTACAGATTGTGCCAACAATTTTGCCAAAAGTCTATGATCCCATTGTTAGCAAAACGACGTACTTCGTTCTGAAAGTGATACCTCTATCAAGCCGTTCCCATTTTTCCGACTACAAATTTTGTCTCTTTTTTCGTTTTCATAGCACTTTTGCACAAAAACGATAGCGATACGAGGTCGAATAAAATGAGATTTTGTCAAGATCTTCAGTTTTACGAAGCACAATGAAAATTATTATTTCTATTTGCAGTCATTGTTTTATTTGCGTTCTGAAATGCTTCAATGATTCCTTCGTTGCTTTTTTTTTGACGCAGAGATTTGTGTTTAAACCTCCCTTACAAGGCGGTCTATGTTGGAGATATGTATTTTTTCCTGGGGAGGGGAGGGCGAAGATTTACATCGGTTTTGTTTAAAAGTTTAGTGCATGGATATTGTGTATTTGGGTATCGTGAATAGATTATGTTTTGCAGATGTCGCGGCTTTCATGAATTGTAAACAACTTGTTATGTTGTTTTGCGTAACAGGTCTTCTGGTAGAGACATTAGGCCAAAGTCACGTATCGGAACCTTTACACATTATTTTCTTTTGTTAATTAAATTTTGCAATTATTTAAGGCGGTTGTCATTAAATGGAATTCAGCTTACTGTGAAATTGGTTTAAACTTTTTCAATTACAATTCTTGACAATTTGATGCTTGAGTCTGCATCGACTGAATTGTGATAAATTGAAACACCTGGCAACAAGAGGTAGCGAAAAAACTGCTTTATCGCGAAAGGTGACTGGTAGTGATTTTCATGATTGATATCTGGTTGACATAGGAAACATGACAGCGAAGAATATAAAAGGTAGTCTATGAATTAAGTAAGGCAACGGAAAAAAAGCTTTCTGAAGTCAAGTCTTAAGTAAACAATTCGAAGCAGCTGAAAACATACCTGCCTCAATCGAATTTACCCTGATTGCAACTTGGACACGTTTTGTTCAATATCACGAACTTCACTGAGGACACACGAAGGATACGTTGAAAAACAGGAATATAAGTGCTCACAGCATCAGCTTATAACCTCAGAATGAAGATGAACTTTTAATCCACAAATTCCTAAAAGCACGGGACGAAGCACAGCAGTTTTGTTTAGAAAACAACTTTTCTTTGTTCTCCACTGGCAGAAACTACGATTCCTGGCTGTGTTGCTGATTAATTTCTGTTCTGTATCACTCTAGCGAAGTAATTAACATTTTGGTTAAAGAAGAAGTCGCTGTGTGACATCGATCCTTCATTGTACTCTACTGGTAAACATTCATCAAAAAAATTTTGACTTTACAATTTGCATCCCATTTAAATACCGATGGGTGCCGAATTTTATGGGCAATTCGTTCGGGTTAAATTGTCTGACTTGTTTTTCCATATTTAATGCTTACCTGTTGTGTAAATGAATGGTGCCTCAGACATCTACCTCCTCGCTGTGCATGGAACGACAAAACATGTCCGATTTTTTTTCCCCTTAAGTATCTTTAAATGTATTGGTCTTGTAAAATATAAATATTGGAGAAGAATGCTCAATGATGGCGTGCTTCATTTGATGTGCCAGAGTCGGAGAAATATTTTACACCGCACTGACCCACACTCGTCAACAGTTGGCTGCAAACGGGTTCCTTTGCCACGAGAATATAAAGAATAAGTTCTTCAAAACACTGCATGCCGTTTTTAACTAAATTCAAATTTTGTTTATTTGCAGTATTATTTTAATTAGCATATTAAAGATTTACCTTTGTGAAAAAGTGTGTGTCGACGAATTTTTTTCGGTGCAATACATGCATATAGGAAGCAAAATCTGTAAAATTCTCATTTGAAAGCAATGTTTGTTCTGGTGTATTAAAAAAATTGCAGTGTTTTTTTAAGTTTGAATTGTTGTGGAGCAATATCAGAATGGCACATTTTCAATTCAAGTCAAAATTTGATACAGTTGAATTGCTGTTTTTGTTTTTTTTCGTTTTGAAGAGTTTTAACGTCTTCAGCAGGAAAATATATTTTAATTTGGGACTTTTGCTATGGGATCGAGTGCGAAAATACTGAACTTGCGCTACCATGTAATTTAAACCGCGAAAATGTAGAGATTGTCCTTGCAAGATAATTAATTTTGCATTAAAAAACCTGAGCTTCATTTTCCTATGATGGAACTATCCTTCAGGACAAACTGTAGACCAAAGTTACCTTATATCACGAGGATGGATGTGTTAACTTGTCTTAAGCGGCACAAGCTCTCAACCGTTCATCCTGCCAGACACATTTACAAGGACAAATGCTTCAGTTAAATGGCCACGAGTGTTTGCACTTCAAAGAGAGATTTTTCAATTAGGATATCAAAATGCAAATTGAACAAGGCCAAATGCATAGCAACCGATAGAGAAATTAGCATTTTTCATTTTTTTTAGGTCAATAAAACTAAAGATCGCTTCAAGTGTACTTTCTTTACAGCTTGACCTCAGTGCTTTATGGTATTTTTGTGAACCTGTTAAGTGGCCGGCAACATTTTTACACTGATTTTATACTAACCTCTTTACCAAGTGGTAACAATATAGGTAATATATAGATTTAGGCCAGCCTAAAAGCGTAGCTCCTGGGCCGGGTTGTTCAGAGCCTGACTAAGCTAACCCAGGAAAAGGTAAAATTAATTTTGATTTGAGTTTTGTAACTTTGAGGTGAGGTTTTCTGTATAATGTTTGGCCCTCTGTTTTGAGTTTTAATAATCACCATATACACGAAACAAAGCAGCAAAAAATACTTGTACAGAAGAAAAAGTTATAATTCGGTTAACTTTTAATCCTGGGTTAGCGTTAATTGGCTTCCGAACAATCCTGCCCTGGTTTCAACAAGTTAGCCTGACATGAGCCCGCGATCCAACCCAAAACCAGCACTTGGTCAGCGGTCAACTTCGAAAAAACACGCTACCTCAATGAGCTGTAAACTTGAGCCCGCGATATGGTCACGTGATACTGGTCAGCGGATACCTTGTTTTGACAGGTG